CATGTTTTTTAGACCTTTCATGACATTCATTGCTTGCTCTTCAACAGACTCTCAATCGATCCACCTCTTTGTTATACTAAACAGGAACAGATTTGCTCATCTGGGGCCTGAACACTGGTGGTCAGAGCATAAGGATTACTTCCCGTGTTTTGCAAGCTCTATTCATGTTTACATAGTCGTTTATGGTGTTTTCTTTCTTAATGACAGCATGACAAGTTGCCTTACATTCATTTGTTCCACTCTGTGGACTCAGGGCCACCTTCTTAGGAACAGTTAGCTTGCCTGTACTTTTTCCATTTGATTATTTCTGCCTAAGCATATTAATTGCCTTTGTTTTGAATAATGGTTTTAGCCCATTTTTCCAATTTAAGAGATTTTATTTTTTTAATTACAGTGTTGTCCATCATACCTGCAGCCCTTTTAGATGTGTCATGGAAACATTAAAAGCAGAGTCATTGCATTTCTTTCTGGAAGTGTACTGTTGCCTTGTGAAATGTTCACAAAATACCCTAAATCCCTAAATACTTAGAAATACCTTGCTGTAAATGTTCCTGAGACACTGCTGTGTATCCTATAGGACATTCAAAGAAGTGAAACCAGTTCTTTTAAAATTTTGGCTAGCAACTGGACCACCTTTCTAAAAGTCAGCATATACTCTTTGTACCTTGAGATGATGATAGTGTCCAGGTTGATTTGTCATAAACTGATCTTACCCCAGTCTTTCCATCCTCCAAATATCTATGGGCCTGTTAAGGAAGGAGATTTGTTTATTCTTATTTAATTTCTTCATTGTATGAAGTCAAGCATGCATGTGTAACTTTATGAAAGTGTGGCCTAGCACTGTAAGTTTCTTAACCTACTCCCAATAAATAAAACTGAAAAAGAAGACTATAATCACAATTTGGGAAGGATTATGCACTGATCAAAGTAAAAGCAGTAGTTCCATTAAAATTTGTAGATTGAAGAGGCTGCAGAAAATATGGTCTGGCCTAATGAGAAAGAAAATTATTTTTTAGCCCCCCAATTATTTCTCAAGGATACCATCTCATATTTCCCTTAATATTTTCCAGGAGATGGGTATACCTTCTCTCTGTCAGTATTCCAAAATACACATCTTTGTACAGAGAAGTATCCTTCCTCAGTGCAAAAAATGAGGGTTTTCCCTGTGCTTTTCCTTAAAGACTAGGCTGTGGAGTTGGCATTTGTTTCATAAGCTTTTGATCCTAGGGTGGCTTGCATCCAGAGTGTGTGCAGAGCACTGGATATTGTGTCCCTAATTTCATGGGATATTCTGAGTTGGAAGGGACCTACAAGGATCATCGAGTCCAACTCTTAAGTGAATGGCCCATACAGGGATCAAACCCATAATCCTGATGTTATTAGCACCATGCTCTAACCAACTGAGCTAATCTCAAGGTCATGAAGTAGCTGTTGGGCCACTGCTCAGTAGGAGACTCTCTCATGTTCTGAAACAGCAGCTTTAGAGTCTGTCGGATTTTCTCTTTGGGGAGAGAGGCTGAAGAATTCCTAAGAATCAGGAACTGTTTTCTCTCCTTTCACTGCAGTGGGTTTGCAGTGAAAATCAGTGATAGATTTTTTGTTTTTCGTCCCAGACCTACTTAGGTTGCACCATCATTTCACAGAAACATAATACTGTAAAATATGGTGTGTAATTGCTCATTTCAAAGTGTTGTCTTATAGCACTGTAGATCAGGAGAAGGTCCTCTGAAAATGATGGAATTATTCTCATTTTACTCAGTGAGAATATAATTAAAGAGACAGGAAGGCAATGAAATATAGCAGTAATTAAATACAACTAAAGACAGAAATGTTTCGATCTTTCCTTGCTTAAAAGAAAGCTGGATGATGTAGGCTTATGGTCGATGTGTGAAGCAGTCCAGCTCTGGGGAGGTGCCCAGAAGCATGGCAAGCTTCAGGCAAATCTGATGTCCTATATCATAAGCTGTACTTTAAGATACAAAGAAGAATCCAAGAGGCAAGAGAAACCAAAGAAAAGAGACAGAGGTTCAACTGGTTAACAGTTGCAGATTGAAGTCTGCTAGAAGGAGTCTGAATCATCTCAGAAACTTCTTTGGAAAGGAAGGGGCTTTGCAGCAACTTGGAAGAGTGATACAGTCTTAAGTCTTCTCTACTGTTGTGCTTTACAAGACCTAAGTGTTTCTCCCCAGGCAAGCTGGGGCAGCTTTGCGTCTGCTGCCCTGTCCCCTGATTTGGCAACTTGAAGAGACTGGCAGGCCATTTTCTGAAACTACCCATCAATCATCAAGAGAGAGCAGAATATTAGAATCAGTAATGTAACGTGAAAGGAGTGATAGGAAGCATCAACAATTCCTGTTAAGCAGAGAAAATGATAGTAATATTCAGAAGATAAAGCTGAAGTAGCACTGAACCTTTAGTCAGTTTTAGGAAGCTAATCAGTTGTGTCGGGAGAATATCTATGCAAAAGTTTCTAAAAGTGTTCTAGAACTCCTCAACCTTATTGAAGCAGGAGCTTGGCTCACTTGGGCAGAACAGATTATTATTTAGGCATTTTATAGAATTGTCTGTCTTCTATTGCTTCTCACACATAAGTCTCGAAGTGTGTTACAGGGTGGTCAATAGCATTGTTCCTGCTGTGCTGAAGGGCCAAATAAGCACTCAGGGTTGTTAATTTGCCTGGAGTTACCCAAAAGCAGAGCAGAGGACTCCAGAGTGCCTGTTTTGTACATTATTTGCTCAGTCAGTGTTTCCTGAGAAAAATCCACCTGGGGAAGGTTGGTACAGTATATTAGCGTGAACAGGGATCACATCAAAGAGTTTAACACCTCAAATTGACAAAGGCAAAGCAGGAGAACAGAGGGATGCATTAATTTTCTTCTAGTCTCACAGCAGGTTAGCAGGAGAAACACAACTCCAAGCCAGGTGCCTTGCTTTGCTGACAAGCAGCCCATCCCCATGCCAGACTGGCTCAGCCAGGGTCTGTGGTCACGCTCTCTCCTCCTGAGATGATACCCTATTTTCATCTGGAGGTGGAAGAGAGAACTGTTAATATGAGATATATTTATTTTGCACAAGAGAGAAGTTCTACAAACAGAAAACTCTCTGACAAAGGAGAACAAAATAAGAAGAGAATTTAGAAATGCTGTACCATGTATTTCACATTTGGCAATTTATACTTCAGAGTTAAAACAATTTTGCATGTGCCCTTTTGAAAGCATGAGGCTGCATGCATGAAGAAAGCACCCATTTCCCTTATGTTTTGAGCAGGGAGCCATATGTTTCAAAAGCAGAAAAAGAACAGTTAGCCTTGGAGCATTAAATCTGCCCATCTAGGTAGCTGACTAGCTTTCTCACAGAGATGATTGTCCCAGAACAAAGCTGAGGAAACAAAGCTTAGAAGTGTAAATATTAGTAGGTGTGTGGGGACATAAATTAGAAAACTTGAAAATTTTAATTACTTGCATTTACTTTCACCTGCTGAGTTCCCTGGCTGACATCAGAAACTACATCTGTTGGGTTGCTAGCAGAGTAGGCAGAGGGGATGGGGACAGGATAGTCTCAGTTCCCATATTGACAGTAGAATCTGCACTGACAGCATATTATCTGATGTAAAAAAAAACCCTAATATAAACAGGAGCTTCCTGCTATCTCCCACAAACATGGAAAGTACCACGTAGTGTTAGCTGTCAACTCAGCAGGAGCTTCCAGGCCTCTGGACACTTAAATCACAACATCATTACAGTCACCTTTGGATTCTGTGATTGAGGTTTTCCTATTTTACTTGGTAGGTTTATGGATGCAAGGAGGATTAAATGATAAAGTGAATCATATGACAGTGTGTGAACGCCTACACAATGAAAAAAAAGGGTGTCAGGAGGAGAACTTTTTATTTCAAGGGATTGTGTGGAATAGAAAAACACACATATAGGGCATTATGATTCCTCACACTGTTCTTAGTTGCATAAGGTTTGTGTGTTGTATTTGTTTTGACTATGACATCCTTGGGGTAAGGACTGTGGGTTTTTTAGATCACCTAGGACAATACTGCCCTGGTCTGTGTGTAGTCCTGGAATGAAAACATTAATAATGATTGTTTTGCATGGCAGAGGCTATGGCAGGCTATATTTTCAAAGAGGTACAGTTTGTCTGATTTAATTTAGCTTTCAATGTCCATTTCAGTCTGGTATTTTTGTGCCTGACTGCAATCACAGAGCAAGAGGTAACAGTCCATGGTGTCATTGATATCAACCCCTGGACAGCATCTAGCCATTTAACAGACACACGCAAAACCTATAAACCAGTGTGATGAACCATCTGCTGTGCCTTTCCTACTGTTCCTTCTACTATTTTGCAAATACAAATCTACAGATTCTAACAGAATGTCAGTCTTCAACTCTGCTGCATGTATGAGAAGGGAAATAAGATATAGGAGCACTAGAACTCTTTTTCCATGACATTTATTAGTTTATAGTGTTGTTTCTTACATCTGTTTTTCTTTGATTCCTCTATAAAATGGACACAATTTACTTTTAATAGATGCTTTGCTGAAAAATGGTGCTTCACCATTTCACTAACCTGCTTTCAGATAGTTGTAATTTTGCTTTAATTTTGTGCTTTTTATGATTTACAGCAAAGTAACAGAGAAGGAGCAACCCTGGAATTTGCTTTTAATGCCAGGTACATTCCAGAAGTGTTATTTAGACAGCACTCTGAGAATACATGTTATTGTGGTTGCTTTCCTATTTAATTGGGTACAAATAGAATCCAATATCTGATTTGAGAATAGTTTTGTGTCAGTATAGGCCATTTTCTGACTCAATTTGGTGCGTAGACTTTGCGAGTCTCATTGCTTGTATAGGGGAGTGTAAGAGGCTTCTGTATAAAACGCTACAGTTTGTGTTTATCATTTTAGCTGAAAAGGAAAGATGGGGAAAGTAGAATGAGGATCCACATCTGTCAGCTAACTTTCCTCTTTTTCTGAACTTTTTTTTATTTTGCAGGTGATGGAAATTAAAGGACAAATGATTCATGTACCAGAATCAAATTCTATTTTGTTTCTTGGTTCTCCATGTGTGGATAAGCTGGATGAACTGATGGGCCGAGGCCTCCATCTTTCAGACATACCTATCCATGATGCTACTCGTGATGTCATATTGGTTGGGGAGCAAGCAAAGGCACAGGATGGCTTGAAAAAACGAATGGATAAGCTGAAGGCAACACTAGAATGTACACACCAAGCCCTGGAAGAGGAGAAAAAGAAGACAGTAGATCTCCTTATTTCTATTTTCCCTGAAGAAGTGGCTCAGCAATTGTGGCAGGGGCAGCAGGTTCAGGCCAGGAAGTTTGATGATGTCACCATGCTCTTCTCAGACATTGTTGGCTTCACTGCCATCTGTGCTCAGTGCACGCCCATGCAGGTCATCAGCATGCTGAACGAGCTCTACACGCGGTTTGACCATCAGTGCGGATTCCTGGACATCTACAAGGTAACAGCTCAAGTCCTAAGGTAGCAATATCTAATGGAAACTGAGACAGGAAAAAAATCTCAGTAGCTTTCTTCCTAAATTGCAGACTTGCACTCATATTTCATAAAAATATGAAGGCACTAGTTTTGTTTTATGTGAGAAAAACCCCGAATCTGAAATGTCCCCGATTGAAAATCAAATACTTTAATGTGAAACTGTCACCATGGTGCTCCCATGGGAATATGGGTCTCATATTCCCATTTTCCTACAGAAACATGCATCTCCTGTATTATAGCCTGGTTTCCTTTAGGTGACACATCAGCCACGTCATCCTAAAGATGAAGAAGCGCACAGTGATGAATCTTAGCCCCTGCAGCTCCTGAGAGGCACTCAGTTTCAGCTGAAACGTGAATGGTTTAGGGTTTAGGCACTTACCTTTCTTCTGAAAGAATTAAAATTTTCCGTAAAGAGCAAAGCATTCACTGAAAAAATTGTTGTAAGAAACTTCAACTTCCACTGAAAAACAACAAGAGGACAGCAGATGTCCATACATAGCAAATGTAATGAATGGGACTTTGCACTGGTGTGCCATGCTCCTTTACTACTCTGCAGAAAAGGAGATGTCACACATGCTGGTCCTGTTACAGACCTCATCATCTTCACTTCTTTTGAGTGGATCTGGTGTCCAGTATGTATTTGAGAGAAAAAAAGAGGGGAGGTACAATTTAATAAATGCAGTGAAGATACTGTCTGTGTAACTATCCTGTGAAATCTACAATGTGTTTTGTATATGGAATGCCCTTAATTTTGAGACCGGAGAAATAGAGCAAATTTCTTTTCATATCTTAATGCACAAAAGAAAAAAATGTGTTTCAAAATCGTATTTTTTATTCTCTCTGAGGTTTGCAAACTAACAGTTTTCAAAATGTTTCATAGAGTATTTGTTGATAGGCTGGAGAGAAAATGTCTCACAAGAGTGCTATCCCTTTCATTTTTAGCCTCTAACACACTTTAAAAGGAATTGAAAAATTATTACACACATAAAAAATAATCATGGCTGAAAAGTTACAATATGTACTACAGATAGAACTGAAAATGGTATAGATAAAGACTGGTAGGGCAGTACACCAAAGTAAACGATCACACTGTAAATAGGTTTTGTGCTCCTGGGCTAGGGGTTTGTATTACTAATGCTCAGAAGCCAAAGACTGTATTAGGAGAGGACTGCAAGGAAAGATACCAGCCCTCATTAGATGATTGTTACAGCAATACAGTCAAAAACATGGGAAGTTTGATCTCAGTTTGTATGAGTCTGGTGTTGCTGCACTGGATTATGACCCAGCTCTGAGAACAGGACTCATAGAACTTCTGACCCACAGTCAGGAGTGACCCTGCTTCACATGCTGTGTGTTCACACGCTTCACATAGTCACTGTGTTCCCAGGTGATTAATTTTAGCTGTTCTGAGATATTCAGAACATTCTTTGTTGAAAACTATGGTTGCAAGGGAATAGGATATACAGTATGCAAAACTCTATGACCAGACTGTAAGGAAGGTTGGTTGAATCCTGTGAGAACAAGAAAGGATATTTGTGGAAGGTCATGAATATTATATCGTTTAGACCATGGCTTTCTGCCTTTCACCTAGTTTTGTGCTACTTTAGACAGAATGAGTTACTGTATGAAAATACTGTCCTGATCAGTGAAAAAAGACCATTGCTGAGTTAGTCAAGATAAAATATATGCATTCAAAAAAAGGAATAAGCACTCCCGCGTTGAGACTGCCATGTAAGTTTATGAGCAAAGGTATCAATAAAACCTGTTTTTCTATGGCAGAATGGCTTACACCTCTAAAACCATTTCTCCACTGTTACTGTCTTAATATAGGCGGTTCCTTCTCAGATCCTTTCATCCTGGATTTTCCTTATTTCCTCCGTGTCCCCTGAGCCTCCCCTACTTCCCACCACAGCCCACATATGAGCAACGCAGCATGCACTGTGGCTGCGTGTACTTTTTTTCTTCTCCCCAAATCCTTTTCAGTTTGTTGTTTTTCTTTTTTAACCAGAAGTCTGAAAAAACTACTGTGTAAAAAATGAAGTGAAAGCGACTCAATTGAGTAGTACAGAAAGACAAAACTCAGGCAATGAACTCTTTTTCTTTTCCTTAGAGAATCAGGCTTAAAATAAAGTAATTATTTTGAAAAAAACATTCACATTTTAAAATGAAAATAGTTTGTGTGTTTATATTTTTTCCATTTGTTTCAGATGAAATTCTGAAAGCTAAGTGTATTACTAGGAATGATCACCACCACAACAGCTATGATTTTAGAAATTATTGTCAGGCGGTGAATTTTAGATACATAATCACCACTATTTGTATCCACAGCCTGCCTCAAAGATATACTTGAGTAACTAGGCTACAGAAATTTGTCATGTGACCTAAATATACATCAAAAGAGATCAATTTTCAAATTTGCTTGTTTTTAAGCAGCATGGCAAGAATAATTTGCAAAGATTATTTGGTGAGCACTTCTGAATATCAAATTCACTGTTTTGTAAACAGAAAATTAAGCAAAATTCATTAAATAAATTCCATGCAGTAAATTAATTACCCAGCTTTACTGTTACAGAATTTGGAATTCAGAACCTTAGTACTTCTAATCTTGGACTCAGACAATGAATACAATATTTTCAATTGTCTCATGCTGTTCATCCAGAGATGTTTATTGAGAAATATGACACAGAAAGAAGAACAAAGATCCTCACATTAAACAAGTCAGACATAGAGGGCAAATAAATGAGCTGTTGGATATAGACTAAGAAATGCTTTGAGAAGGCAGAAGAGTGATGAATTAGATTTTGAAATTTTTTGTAAATGAAAGTAAGTAGCTATCACTGATGAGGTAGGGAAAGGTTGTCCAATAGACGGATGCACAGGTAAGAGTGACACATACAGAGGGTGGACTCAGAAAGTGAATTTCACAGCAGCATTTTGAAAGGATACAAATCAGGACACATTACATTTGTTCAGGCTGAGGGAGAACATTGCAGTAATTGAGATGCGTGGTGTTATGAGTCTGGGTGACAATTTTAGCAATCTAGAGGAATCTGTGTTTTAGAGAGTGAAACTTCAGAAGGAATCTGCTGACATATAGTCTTGATGAAAAGATCAAGAGGGACACTCATGGTAATCACAGAAGGGAGAAGAGGTGAGAGAACTAAGACCTGGTAATGCATTTGGAAATTGGTGCTGCTATCAGAGCTAATTATATTCAGCTTGGAGTTGAGGAATGGGAGAAAAAGATGCTGTCAAGCAGGGAGTGCAAGTCAAAGCAGTGTAGACACAGAGGCTTGGCAAGCTAGTGTCTGTGGACATGGAAGTAGAAACATGAACTCAAGGACTAGAAGTAATGGGAGAAAGTTCTCAGTAAATTTTGAAAGCTGTTGCTTTGGGTAAAATATGTACTGGGTGACCTGACTGTTTTCGCCTGTTTTTTTCTGTATCTGAGTTCCTGTTGTTTATGAGCCAAGTGCTGGGAAATGATGCTTCAGTTAAGCCATCTATTTGTCAAATAAGCTATTTAGATATGCTGCAGCCATGTCTGATGGCATTTAAAACTTAACCTTGCAAACTGAAATCTTCCCTGTTTAGGATTCCTGTAGCTTCTGTTTCTCCTCCACATAATATATCTTTGACATTGGTTCATTCAAAATATTTTTTTTCTTATAGGCCTGTGTAGGCCTGCTTTCTCAGCTCTTTTCCCTTCAGTTTCCTTTAACTACTGCGTAGAGTAAAGGCAGCATGTTCTCTGGATGGTTTTTTGTCTGTGTGTGCACTGGCTGTGTGTTTTTTTGCGCTGGCTGGGTAATGTCAAGCCAAATAGAGCAGAACCAGGCCTGATTCTGTAGGTGTCCTTTCTCTGAACAGAGCAGCATTTGTCCTTGAAGACATTTGCAGATTTCCCCAGACAATAATCTTCACTTTCTGTGAAGTGCTAAGTCCCACTTTCCATGTCTAAGCAGAGTCCTAAGTGTTTTTGACAATGAACTATTGTCAGCTGCCAAATTTCTTTGCTTTGTTTTCAAAACTTTAATTGAAAGTTTATTGAGTATTTATTGAATAAGACAATATAATTACAATTGGTTTTATAGTTAGAATCCACAATTTTGTTGTGTGAATTTCTGCTTTCTTTTTGGTTTCATTGTTTGGCTAAATTGGCCCTCCTCTCTGAGGGGTGCCACACACATGCCTCCAAGTCTTTTACCAGCTTCCTTGAGCTTTTATTCCTGGCAACACGATACAGTTAGTGTGTTAGATCTTCATTTTCTGATTTGATATGTCTAACTCTGGCTACAGCCTCAATTTTTGCTCATTGTAAAGACTTGAGACTGAAAAAGGATGGGAAGTCTGGACTGCTCTGCAATCATTCAGTGTAGCGTGGGGGTCTTTATATAATAAAGAAATGTAGTCTGCTCTTCGCTGAGGTGGAAATTGAAGAGACTTTATTTAAATCTCGCACTCCCTTTTATCCCCTAAAACCACGTGACCTTGTAACCAATGGGGTTGTCTGTCCCTGCGCATGTCCCTTGGCTTCCCTGCCCCTGGGACACGCCTCCTACAATTCAAGGCTGATACTCACCAGTTTTGAAAAATGTTGTTTATATTTCGGTTGTGATATAATGCTTTTAGGAACCTGATTTTAAACTCACATTTTCTGAAAATATCACTTTACATTTTTGTACTCGTCGTTAAAGTTACAGAAATCTGTATTCATTTTACAGAAGATACCAGTACATTCTCAGTGCCATGACTATCCCTTCTTGTGAACTGATACATGTACATATTCATATATATGTTCTCAAGCTTACTGTCGGTACTATATTGACTAAAGAATACTGCAATGACCAGGGTCATGAGCTTCAGATTATTTGGAAGTTTTTCAGGCTTTATGTTTCATAAGTTAAAAACCATAGTCTCCAAGTTTTAATGCAAAATCTATGGCCACTATTTTTATCTTCTTTC